TCTATTCCCGACCCCGTACATGATACTAAGACAAAGTCAGTTTCTTGCCCAGTCTGCAAATTTTACAATCCCTTTGGCAATGAGTAGATAGTCCAACATAATTCTTGTATCAAACAAATGATTCTTCAACCAAATCAGCATTTTAAATAACTGATGAAAAAAAAAGAAGCAATAGCATAATCCGAAAACACGATTATTTTCTGTACAAACCTTTTACTTATATCCAAACAGCGAAAAGATCTATAAGTTGTATCCCACCAACTACTAAGTCACCTAAAATCTGCAGTCAGTGCTTCAACACACAAATGTCACAAGGTTTAGAACTTTTCTGTCGGTGGGCATAATGGTAGTATCTGGGCCAACTTGCGCATCTTTACGATTTAAAACTTAAAAGTATTATACTGAATCCAGAGCTATGTCTTAAAATTCCTCCCAGTATCTTTTGAGCAGACAACCACATAAGAAACGTAAAGATTGGTCAGAAAATGCCAGGTAGGAGCGATAAAAAGAATTGGTTGAAGGATGAAATAATAACAAGCAGACCACTTCTGTGAAAGTAAACCCCTATCCACACCCCTTCCCTACAAAAAGAAAGCTCTCTGTGAGTGTGAGTGTGTGTGTGTGTGTGTGAGAGAGAGAGAGAGAGAGAGCTCCACCACTACTGGTTATTCCTGTTCCAATATGCATGCAAGGGCAATTGATATGAATTCTATGTAAGCATGAGAGAGAGAGAGAGAGAGAGAACTAGCTTCACCACTACTGGTTATTCCTGTTCCAATATGCATGCAAGGGCAATTGATATGAATTCTATGTAAGCATAACCTCCAATCAAGGCTTGCTAAAATGGCAAACTTGTGGCACCAAGATCTAGAGTTTTACCACAATGGTGTACTTGTTACTTTGGTTGCTACTTAAGCATACATAAAAATGTTTCGAGTGAGAAGTAGAATCATAGAATACTACACCAAAAACACGTCACTTCTCGAAAAAAGAGAACAACTATTCTCTTTTACATTGACAAAGACCTGCCACAGTAATGAACATAGAGCTAGATGGAGATTAAAGTTATCTATCACATAAATGGGGAAATGAGCAGCTCGAAGAAGGAAGACTGAGTGGTCCCTGGCTTCAGTATTGGTCAGGACATGGCGGCTAGCAGATAATAATAGGTTGATTGAATGCACTAATCACCAATGACCATCAATTTGAGAGTGGGACTCAAATTAACTCTTGGGAATCAATAATTTTAGCATGTTAATTACATGCATTTTAAGTTTATCCAAGAACTAGGACATTTCACAGGTTGAACCAAATTGACGGAACTCCAAACTTTTGCGGCCAACTGAGGTAAATATAGAAAATAAAGCTGAAAGTAGAATGGAGTACTTTTATCAGGAACTCTCTAGACTGTAAATTATCTTGAAGATACTAAAACAGTTACCAGTCAAATTCCTTTCAGCTCATAGATTATGACTGTTATATGCAGATCACAAGCAAAAAGAGGAAGAAACGGAAGTATCACATTATGTTGTTGCACAAACAGACAACTGAACTTACAGGCAAAGCTTTAATATATTCCATAATTAGCTGAAAGCTTCTCAAATCTTGGTTCACCCCGCTAGGTCCATCACTTGGCCTCTGTAGCAAATGACAATACGGTTAGATAGTGATCAGGGATAGTAGAATGCCGATAAAAAACAGAGTGATCAGCTTGCAGATATTTCCACCAAGTCCCTCACTAGTCCTCGTATTAGTTACATATGTAACAAGCTCAGTACATATAATTAATATGCACCGCTTGAGGGGGAGTGTTAGGTAGTTAGTAGTTGTATAAATAAGTATGGTCCCACATGGAATAGGATTAGTGTATGTATTATGTATTGTTATAAATAAGGGTCCTTGTATTATAGTTAAAGACATCAATAATATAATTCTACTTGTATTATATTCTCACAGATACCAAGTATCAGCAACTAGCACCGGAAAATAGTTGGATTCTACTTTGAAATAACAACAACAACCCAGTAAAATCTCAAGTGGGGTCTGGGGAGGGTAGTGTGAATTCTACTTTGAAATGTTACAAGGATTTATGTCAGAGTATGCTTAAGGTATCTATCCTAGAGGCTAGAGCAGGGCTTTTGCAGGTAGGACAATGAATTTTGTTATCAGGATTGGATCTTCTAGTGAAAATAGCTCTTTTTCCTTAACAAAATTGGTCAAATACTTCAACAAAGAAAAAAGATTTAAGTGCTTTAGCAATAAATATAATTTGTTTCCCTACATAAACAAACAAGAATTATTGAAATGACTCCTCAATTATCCATATATATTCATCAAGCCTGGTCTATTTGATCTATTTTTTTATTTCAAGATTTTGCTCCTGCTCTGTACTTAAATAATGTGGAGTGGACTCGAGTGTATATGCAGTTTGATTCATATACAAAAAGAACATTTGGCATTCCAGAAATATGGTAACCCTAATATAACATAAAAGAAACAGTTAAAACTTTCAAAGAAATGAAAATGGCAACAATGATAAAGGGAATGCTTCAGGTTGAGGGCAGACCTGTCTTCTAGGCTCAAAGCGTATGGTCAATGTATGAACAAGGAACGGATCCAGTGGGGGATCGTCTGGACTCACCGGCCGAAACGAGGAAAATGGAACTCTCACCTGTGAAAACATGTGCATATGCAAAAACATTAGAATAAAAACTAAAGTATTAATAGAATTCATACTGGAGGCATTACTCAATTAATAATTTTCCTCCACTCCGTAAATCCGAGCTCACCCTGCAAAATCCTGCTTTTGTGCTAATTCTGGCAAAATACAGTTTGCTTTGGGTTGTATCTGCTGAAGGACCAGCTTCAAGAATTACAACATAAGATCTCCCATTCCCACCAACAGAGAATACTAGACCCTCATACCTAAGAATCAAAATATCAATATTGACACAAGTATAAGCAGTGAGCATAAATCAACAACTGGGAAAAATAGCATCGTGTCGGAGTAAAAAGGAAAAAGAAAAATTGACATTGATAGTAAATACCTGTCAAGAGTGTAACCTAAAGGAAGTGACAGTTTTCTTGACAATTCAACATAGCCTCCTCTTGTGAAAACATATCCTTGGATGAGCCAAGAGAAAGAAAACTTAGATAACAGGGATCAAAAGTTTGCATTGCTGAAATTCAATATTTCACAAACATACTCAAACTCGTCTTACTTAGCACAACATTGCAATAAATGAGACTACAAGCCCCTAAATGTGTTCACAAAACAAAGTATACATGTTTTCAAGACCTGAGATCATATTTCCTGGTTACCTGAAAAAATAGCCTCTCCTCTTTCAGTAAACTCAAACGTANCAAATGTGTTCACAAAACAAAGTATACATGTTTTCAAGACCTGAGATCATATTTCCTGGTTACCTGAAAAAATAGTCTCTCCGCTTTCAGTAAACTCAAACGTAGCATCCATTCCTCCATCATACTTAGAAGCAACCACATCCTGGAAATATGTCCCTTGACGGACTTCCCACCCGTTCAATGAATCTTCAGACTTGAATTTTGCAATTAAAAGCTTGCTTTTGCTACTCTTCCCGGCACGTTGCTGTGCTAGTTTATTATTGTAGTCCTACAATTTTTGAAACAAAATGTATACACAGATTACAGACTGATCATTTCAACAAGGGAAGTATTTGGAAATGCACACATAATAGTTGCCCGAGATTAACTACATTTTCCCTTTTGTTTTCAAAGGTCTAGTATTTCTTTCCCTCCATGTGACCCACCAAACTACTGCTGGGATATACTTCCAAATGTTACCGAACGCTTTATGAATATCTCGTTTGTGCCATGAGAAGAGAAAGTCACTGTAAAGTGGTTTTTGGATGTACTTTTGTCCAGCTTTATCTTAAAGCTGGCCCTGTTATACATCAACAATATTCTTAAAGCTGCCTATACAAAAAAATACAAAAAAATAAAAATAAAAATAAAATAAAAAATAAATTGTTGCCCTAGATTGTAATTGGATCTCAGTTGTGTATGCTAAATATCAATGCAGGAATTTAAAGCATTTCTGAGGAAGCAGTTCAACTTGTTAGTTAAAGAAAAAGTACACCAATGGTCCAGTTAACTAAGAAAAGATAATTCTGACCATTAATGAAGCAAAAGCAAATCATCAAAATATTACGGGGAAATGACAATCTATAATTTCACTACATTCCTAGCACAAACTTAGTTCTTTTTCCTGAAAGTAAATCTGTTATACAGAATTCAGAGGCAAGTTCTTCATCAGATTCGACTAGTTAATTATGGATATCGATATTACTAGATAAAAATATCTTTGTTAAGATGTGTCAATTTACTATATGATAACTTGTCCTTATCTGATATCACTCTGATATTCCAGTACAAGTATCTCGTCTAAATGGTGTCAATTGAAGGACGATTATCTTATGGGGTGGATGTCTACATTTCCATCTAATCGAGATACATATGGATATACAAGAAAATTCACATCGTTTAATGCCAAGAAGATATGTTAATTGACTCTGCTTGATTAGCACTAGCAGTATTACAACAAGCATCTTATGCAGCATATTCAAAGGAAAATGTTGCCATTCAAACTACTGTCAGACATCAACTCAACTATTGGGAGATAGAATGAGCGCTATAGGACAACATGGAAAAGTAATTAGTATAACCTCGCCAAAATGGACCAAACAAGATAGTGGACGGAAACTAATACCTGCAAGGCTTTGGTTAGATTGTAAACCCCTTGATGATCAACTCTGATGAGATCCCCCGTGATTGAAGAACGAGCAGTGGCACAATAGATGATTTTGCTGCAGCCTTGCACTGCATCTTTTAGACTAGAAGGATCACCAACGTCCCCTGTCACCAACTCCACGGATCTTGGTAGCATGTCAACCACATCCGGATCAGCTTTCCTTACTAAAGCCTGCTTGGGAATGTAAAACAAATGCAAGTGATGACTTCTATCTCAGCCGGATATCAAGTAAAGTTATTCAACAGGAAAAAGGAAATTATATAGATAAATGGAGGAGCACCATCCAAAGGTGGATTTAGGATTTAAAGGCCCTGGATTCCTAAAATATATACGTCTAAAATTACGAGTCAATTCCAAACTAGTTCAGGTCAGCTATATGAATCCTCTATATCCTTTCCACTACTCTATTCTCTAAATTTCACACTTATCCCTACACTGTCATAAAACCAATAAAATTCAATAAACTCCTGTCAAATACCAGTCAAATGTAATTGTCTGAATAACAACTAACGTCAGTAACCTTAATTCCAACTCGCTAGCATCACCTATACATATCTGAAATAGTTTAATTAGACTTTCTATATGCACATGCATAGTCCAACTCCGCGATACTGGTGCATTTGCAACCTGCTAATTATATGCTAAATCAGCCTCTAGCCACACGTAAATGACAATAGTTGGAAGGAGGAGAAACTCAAAGGCGGATGTAGAGTATACTAATGGGTTTATCCGAACCCAGTAGCCTTGGCTTAGATAGACGGGGCCAGGATTTGAATCTTATGGGTTTCAGATTGTAATCCTTTTAAGTTACTTAGTTCTAAATTAATAATGCGTACATATTCAATAAAATTCTTAAGACAAATATATGGTTTGAACAAATGCTAGTAGTTTCGGCCGAACTCGTATCCCACACTGTGACTCCATCCCTGACCTGTATATATTTTAAGAAATCCACCGAAAAAGTACAAACAATAGATTTTGAACCTAGTAAATCAGATGGGCTGTGGTAGAATCCTGAACTCGAACCTATATTGCTCAAGTTCCAGTTTCGCCTTTGCAGAAACTATATGCAATTACTAAACGAACTTACCTTCAATACACTGATAAAATGAAAGAACCTAACAGATAACTAACTACATGTAACTATCCAAAAAAAGCGACATTACGAAACTAGAAATAGAGCAATTACCTGCTAAATATGCTACAGTGTAAAAATTCTTTACAAAAAGAAATATATATAGAGAGAGAGCAATAGGGCCAAAAGTAAATTGGAGGATGTAATCGAGAAATGGACCTTGACAGTGTAACCCCTAAGCATGAGTTTGCGCACAACAATTCTACCAACACGGCTAGTAGCACCAACAACGAGCACAGTAGTATTCTGAGCACCAGGAATTGCAAATTCACACATGGGCCCACCTTCCCTAATAAGCAGAGTACTCTCATCATCAGAACGGATTGTTCTCGAAATCTGCCATAATCCCGAAAACTTACGCCACACTTCATCGAACATTTGACGCGAACGTCTCCCTAATCCTACTGGGTTCACATCATCCAATCTCTTTATAACTGAAACAGAAGATGACTGTAACTCTTGTTGTTGCTCTTGCTCTGGCTCCGGCTCCGGCTCCGGCTCTTGCTTTAGCTCTTCCCTTTCAATTACTACTTTCTTTTTCTTCTTCTTATTTTTCTTTTCGTTTTCAGTTTCAGGACTTGACGATGATGAAGTTGCTCGTGAAATAAAAGAAGTGTTAGCACAAGTTGTCCATATTGGATTTGGTAGTGAATTGGGTTTTCTCCATATTGAATTGTAAGGATTGTTGTTGTTGCTAAATGCTACTGGACTGAATGTTGCAGTAGTAGCACTCATTTGAAAAAAGAAAACAAAAATCTTACACAAAATTTGGTGCTCAATTGGTTTTTTGCAGAGCAAGTGATGAAATTGAGAATTTCAGAGGAGAATTTTGTTATTGAAATTAATCAGATCAACCAAATCAGCAGTGAAAGTGACAGACGAAAATTTCCACCACATAAATGGTGGCAAATGGCAAAGTGAATAAAGCAGTGATATTGTGATCAACCCGCCACGAAAACTAGAGTATTTTATCGTATGGGCAGTGAAGAAAATGTAGAAGCAGCGTGTGCCACGTAGACATACTCGTTTCCTTAGATTCTCATTTTGGCAAGTTGGTGTTTTTTTTCTTTTTTAAAAAATTAAATCAACGCATTGGAAAAAGTTTTATTTTTAAAAAAAAAATGAAAGAAAAACTTATTCCATTTATTTTATTTTTTTGCAATAATAAGAAAATTTCTCTAATAGAAATGACATATACTTCGCCTAAAACTTTACTCGAATTTTATTGACTTTCTATATGAGATTCAAGTGACATATACTTCGCCTGAAAATTTTACTATAGCCAGGTCAAAGAGTTCATTGGTTTCCCTCCTTAGGATTTGGATAATGTTAGGTAAGGCCAAATATTATCTTTAGTGGACTGAAATCCTACAACTAATATATTCCTTGTTGGCAGCAGAGAGTTCTTTGGTTCCACCTCAGGAATTGGATAATGTGAAATAATGGGAGTTTCTAAAAATAAATTTTTATTTTTAACATATCAAAAGAAGATAATTTCTTTTTTTTGTTATACCCACAATATTAATTACTCATTCCAAATCATTTTCTCAAATACATTAAAAATATGCATCAATTAATAAGGGCATCGTGGTAAATTATGCACTTCATTTATTATTTCTTAAGGAATGTGCAAAATCTATAGTGGACAAGAAAAAGTAAATGGGGAGAGCAGCTTATAAGCTAAAAGTCATAAGTTGGTTATACCTAACTTTTAACTTTTGGTTTATTTTTGTACTTTCCATATCTAAAAGTAAGTGTTTTAAGCACTTTTTATCATTGTCAAACACCGCAAAAACGAAAAAAGTGCTTAAAATCCAATAAATACTTAAAATAAGCCAATTTAAACACCTCTTAATCGGAGGCCTAGAGGTGTAATAGTAAATAGTAAAGGAAATTGCAATATTTGATAATTATATTTCGTGTTTTTACGGGCTTGCAGTGCATATAAATGGGCATAATTAAGAAGCTATAACTTTCCTTTGTATATTCCTTTATTCAGTCAATAGTCATGCAAGTTAATATTCCAGTAGATCCCTCAAATTTTTTCGTGCAAACGAGTTTGAATTTTAATTTTATTTTTAAAAAAAATGTTAAAAATATACTCTTACACCCCATAGCCATTTTTGAAAATACTCCTTTTATCTTGTTTGTAAATATATCTCCGACATTTTGTGTAATGATGTGTAAAAGGTGTCTTGCTCTTCATTAGGTGTGTACATAGGCCGAGTTAGTTCAGATTTTTTAACTACTAAACCAAGTCAATTGTCTCGGATTTTTAGATGTGTAAACCAAACCGAACCAACAAAAGTTGGATTTTTCAATCTCGATTTTTCTCGGGTTTTTCAATTTTCTCGGGATTTTTGGGTTTTTTTGGATAAAATCTTCATAGCATAAAATATATAATTTGTGCTCTAATATTTCTTAGGTCCTAGTAGAATAAAACTACATAGTAATATGTTTTCCAAGAAAATAATATAAAATAATGTGAGATGAGTCATGATTATACTAAAATACTCAACAAGTCACATAAAATAAATATTGCTAATTAAGAACCCATAATGAAAATAAACATAATCTAAAATTACTAAGTGGTCATGCTAAAATAAATACTAAGTATTAGTTACCTGACTAAATAATAATAAAAATAAGTTATGCATTTTTACTATCTAAACCAATGCAATACTAAAAGAATAAATATACAATACTATTGTCATTCCTACTTCCTAGTATTGATCGATTTATTTTTAGCATTAGTATTGATTTGATTTTCCTTTGGGCTTTATTTGAGTTACTAACTTTTATGGGCTATAAAACATATTTGACCATTTAAAAATTCTAAGTTCTAGCTTGAAATAATACAAGTTTAAATAAAATTTTGTAAAATTACATTACAATAATTATTTTTATGTATAAAATATTTTTAAAACTTGTATACATGTAATGTCAAGTTGCTTTGATTTCGGTTTGACTTTTTCCAGTTAAAACCAAACCAAATCAATTATGGTCGGGTTTTTTCTCTAACACCAAATCAAATCAAACCAAACCATAATTGAGTTTTTTCTCGATTTGACTCGAATTATCGATTTGGTGCGGTTTATCGGTTTCCTTCATACACCCCTACTCTTCATTAGTCCCTTTCGTTTTGACTTTTGAGTCGCTTATACTTGTTCAATGCACTACAAGTTTTCCACGGAATGGTCGGTTTACTATAATAGGCTTTTGCATATATTAACCTCCGTAAATAAACTGCGTTTAGGTACTCATTATTTTAATATTGACAGGTTTTAGATTGACATTGGTTAGATTTTACAAGACATTTGGGCACAAAATTATGCTCTTAGCAAATGTTTGTGAAATTATAGGTTGTAGAGCGATTGTGTTGGCATCCTTCCTAATAAATACTTATATGTACTCCATGTTTATATCAAACCAATAGATGCATGATGTATGAGATGCGTTCGCCCATTAGTTTATATCAATTAATCATGATTTTCGCTGGGGTAAGTTGATATAATTTGGCGTAAACACTAGTTATGATAAGTATTTACCTTCCTTGTGTGTCGATTCAAGAAAGGTTGATGTGTATGCTCACCCTTGAGCAGTTGAGCTTTCTCTTAACATACTAAAGATCCTCGAGTTTGAGTTGGCCGACTTAAATTGTTTGTTCTCCTTAAACACTCAACTCTTCTTGATCATTTCTCTTTCTAATCCTCTTATTTAATCAGGACTCATATTACAACAATACGTCAACTCTTTTGAGCTCAAATGAATTTGACGCTAGTGTATTATATATTAGTCTAGCTCGCTGCGCGTGGTCAATCATAGATTGTCTTGACTTACACGACTTGTGGTGTTTGGGTTGGCAGTTATAGAAGCCCAAGTGCAGTTGTGGTACACCAATTGCAGTTACTTTAGTTTTTATATAGATAAATAAGTCGAGTCTACCTGTATTTCTTAGGTCGTTTTTATAATTTTACATTGAATATATAAAGGGTACCAGAAACCTCCAAATGCATATTTTTTCATTGATTGGAAATAGAAATTCACTTTCTCTCTCGACATTCTCTCTTTCTTCTTCAAACCTTAGTTCACTTTTATAAGATTTTGGATGAATTTATAAACTTCACATGGTATTAGAGTAGAAAATGGATAGCTCTTATTGTCTGCCTAATCGGACAATGAACGAAGCATAAAATGCCAAATGAAGTTGACTAGTCTGCTGAAATTTCTGCAGCAAAAATGAAATCTTTTCAACTACATACTATAATAAGAAGCATATGACCCGTTTTATCATAATTTTATAGTTTTTAAAAGGTAACTTAGTTTTTTCACAAATTGCATACAATTAGGGATTAAAGGATTTCACACGCAATTGAAGCAACGATTGAAGGGAAGGACTAGAGTTAAAGAAGAACTAGGGAAAGGAAAGGATAGCTGAATCTGGGACTATTGTCCAGATCAGGCTATAGAGAAGACCAATAATTAGATATTACTTGGTAAATAAAATTGTTTAGTTACAAAAAAAAAAGATTTCAAACGCTAGCTAATAACTTAATTAATACTACCGTCATCAGCGCCACTCAACTCGACTTCTTTACAAGATTAGTGTTTGTAACTTCAACTCTAAATTCAAATTTTTAGAAGTAATTTGATATCTTAATTGCAGGATTCCAACAAAGAATTCGAGAATTGAGCAGCTGAGCTAGGAGTTTTGCGGAGAAACTCGAAGATCACAGTTTATGAAGTGAAGAAATTGTAATTGAGAGAAATAGAGGGTTGACAGAGAAATTATAGTTGTATTTCATTGATGATTGTAAAATGATACATTGTAATCCTTTTATGAATGAATATATGAATCGTTCCGGAAGATTCTTATTCCCAACTAACTAACTACCCTTAACTAACTTTCTAATCTCAGCTGACTTGGACTTAACTAACTAGTGCATTAGCTGAGCTGGAGCTCCAATTCGAGCTAGTTGCGATCATGTTAAATTTCGCATATCAATACCCCCCCCCCACACACACACACACACGAAAGATCCTTGACCACAAGGATCAAAGTGAGAGAACCTGATCTTTAGTGCATTAAAAAATTTCCCATGTAGCATAATTTGTAAGTAACCCTGTCCACTTAACCAGGACTTGAGTCACAACTTTAATTTTTTTTCACCATTCGTCTTTCTAAAATAGACTCTGTATTGGGACAATGTGGCCTAAAAATATCTGTACTGGGGGGATATGTATTTTGTTTGGGCAATTCTTAACATTTCTTTAGGAGGGACACATGTACATTAGGGTGTATCTTTATTGAATGAGGAAATAGTAGAGTGTAGGTCACAGCTCCTACCGTCTTGATAATCTGAAATGGTCCATAGAAATTTAGCAGCCAATTTATGAAATGGTTGAGCAGTAATGCTCACCTGCCTATAAGGTTGACTCTTGAAGTAAATCCAATCACCTACTTCAAAGTTTCCATCACTCCTATGAGAATCAACCCGATGCTTCATCCTTAACTGAGCTCTCAATAAGTGATATTGCAATAGTTGTAGTTTCAATTCTCTGTTGATCAGAGTGTTGTCTACATCAGCTAAAGCTGATTCACCAAGCAGATAAGACAAGTGCATATAAGGTGGTCTTCCATAAAAGGACTCATAGGGGTGGTTCTTATGGTTGAATGGAAGAAAGTATTGTACCAATACTTAGTCATATATAGATAAGAATACCAGTCAGTAGCCTCCTCAGAACAGAAGAATCTCAAATATGTCTCTTGGCATCTATTCAGGTCCTCAGTCTACCCATCAATTTGTGGATGATAAGCTGATAAGGTATGTAGTTGGACTCCTTTTATTGTTAGTATCTCCTTCCAAAAAGAAGTTAAGAACACCGTATCCCTGTCAGTGACAATGGAATATGGTAGACCATGAAGTTTGTAGAT